TGTGGCATCAGGATTGGAGGAAGCCTCAACAATCCACAGTATACAGAACTGAGGCAGATCTAAAGCACTTGCTGCAGAAGGTCAAGGACTGTACTCTTCAATATGAATTGAAGCTTAACATCAAGAAGACAAAACTCTTACCACTGGGCCAATTGACAGCACTATGATAGATGGAGAAGAGATTGAGTTTATTAACAATTTAACCTTACTAGGCACCATAATCAATATTCTTGGTGCCATCAGTCAAGAAATCAAAAGACAAATTGTGTGGGAAAGGTTGATGCCAGGGACCTCTCAAAAAAGTGCTGAAGAGCAACAATGTCAATATGGAGACTAAGGTATATCTGATTCAGGCTATAGTCTTCACAGTTACTTTCTATGTGTCAGAGAGCTGGACAATGACCAAAGATGACAGAAGAAGAATTGATGCTTTTGAATTGTGGTGCTGGAAAAGATTATTGAACCATGGACTGCCAAAAGAACAAACAGTTTTGTCCTTGTTGTTGTTGTTGTTAGGTGCTGTTGAGTTGAGTAAGACCCATCTTCTCCAACACCACAACTCAAAGACATCAATTTTCCTGTCATCCTAATTCATTGTCCAGCTCTCAAATGCATAGCAAGTGATCGGGAAGACCATGGCCTGAATCAGACTCACCTTAGTCCTCAAACTGTAGTTATTACTCCTCAATAATTTGGAGAGGTCTTTAACTGAAGGCTTTCACAGTGCAACAGATCTCCTAACTGCTGGTGTCAAGGGTGCTAATTGTGGCTCAAAGAAAGATGAAGTTGTTTGTTGACAGTTTCAATATTTTCTCCATCTATCATGATGTTGCCTTTCAATCCAGTGTTAAGAATCTTTGTTTTCTTGATATTGAGATAAAATCTATACAGAAGGCTGTATTCTTTGATCCTCTGCAACAAGTTCTTCGAGTCCTCTTCAATTTAGCAAGTAAGATTGCCTCATCTACATAACACAGGTTATTGATGTCACTTTCTTCTTCATAGAGTCCAGCTCCTCAAATAATTTGCTCAGCATTTAGATTGAATAGGTATGGAGAGAGAATACAACCCTATTGTAGAGGGACTTCAGACCTTTTGTTCATAGGGTTGCTATGAGTCATGCTTGACTAGAAGGCAATCAACAACAACAAAAATAGTGTTCCCTGGCTCTGTTTGCACAAGTTCTCTTGGTCTAGTTATAGGTTTTGCATGAGCACAATTAAATGCTCTGGGATTCCCATTCTTCTCAATGCTAGCTAAACTTTTTATGACCCACACAGTCAAATGTGTTTGCATAATTAATAAAGCATAAATAGACATTTTTCTGGTATTCCGTACTTTCAGCCAGAATCCATCTGACATCAGCATGGTAACCCTGGTCCCACCATAGCCTCTTCTAAATCATGCTTGAACTTCTGGCAGTTAGCTCTCTACGCACTGTTCTAGTCATATTTTAATGAACTTTAGCAGTATTTTGCTTGCCTATGATATTTTTTAAATTTTTTAATGTTTTTTTTTGTTTTTGGGTTTTTTAAATTTTTTTTTTTTGCCTGTGACATTAATAATATTATTTGATGTTTCCACATTCTATTGGACCACCTTTCTGGGAATGGGAACAAATGTGGACTTCTTCCAATCCACATCCATATCTACATTTGTTAACTGAAACAAGTCAATTGGTATTCAATCAAATCCTGGGGCCTTATTTTTTGCCAATGCCTTCAATTCAGTTTCTATTTCCTTCTTCATTATTGTTGGCTTTTGCTTATATGGTACTTCCTGAAGTTTTTCAGTGCCAGTCAGTTCTTTTTGATGCAGTGATTCTGTGTAGTTGTTCCATTTTCTTTTGATGCTTTCTAGGTTCTTCAATATATTGCCCAAAATGTTTTGTGGTGAGTTGCTTTGATAAAAGCTATACCACTGGTGTCTCAAATGCCACAAGGTTACTCATGGTGGACAGGTGTTAGTAGAACTCCCAAACTAGGAAGCAGGATTGGCCATCCACTTCTTAAATAGCAGGACTCTGAAAGCTCTATGAATAGTAGAGGAATACGAATAGTTATAGTAGTAGTGACAGAATACAGACTGGAAGTCAGTTGAAATGAGGAAAAATAATGACATGCATCATTTAATAATTGAAACAAAGAATGTACATAGCTTGAAATTAAGAAAACTAGACATTTTGAAAAGATGGAATGGAGGCTTTTGAAGCTTTATCTCACATACTTTGGGCATGAAGCCAGGAGGGACCGGTCTCTGGAGAAGAACATATCACACTTGGAAGGGTGAAAGGACAATGCAGGAGATAAAGGTTTCAGATGAGATGGATTGGCACGGTAACTAGGGTAATGAGGGCTGGAGTGTTGAAGTCAGTGATACTGGCTCAGGATAGAGCAGAGTTTAAAGCTATTGTACATACTGTCGCTATGTGTCTCAGAAGACTTGATGGCACATAACAACAACAATTTGTTCATGAGGAACTCTGGCACAGGCTTAGGTGAGTAGATGCTAACTGAATGATTGGTGATTTGGACCCACCAGTGATTTGTTGGGAGAAAAGACCTGGTAATCTGTTCCTGGAGAGATTACAGCCCAGCAAAACTTTATATGTCAGTTCTACTCAATTCTATAGGGTTGTCCTAGGACTTCTGCTGATTGCAAGTAATTGGACAGCACACAAAAACATTCATTCATCTAGAGACATAGTGAGCAAAGCTGAAAATGTTAGCTACAGAGAATGTATAAGGGTTTTAGGTTCTGGAAAAGTTAACAGTTGAATAAAAAGAAATTGAGCCTTGAAGGTGGAATACAATGAGAGATGAGTATTGTGTGGTTTTTGTTTTCAGGAATCACTATGTAAAGACCATTTTATTCACTTTCTGAATCATTGTAACTTAAAGACATTATTCTTTATTGTTGTTATGTATCTTCAGATCAGAATCAATCCATTGCTGACCTCCCAGTAGATTTTCAGAGGCATAAATTGCATGGGAGGAGATTACCCTTCTTTCTCCTACATAATGATGGGTGAATTTGAACCGTGCCAGTGAAACTCCTTACCACTATGCCACCAGAGCTCCCTTTATAGTCTTAAAAAAAAAACCTGTGCTCTCTTCGGAAGCACATATACTAAAATTGGAACAATACAGAGAAGATTGGCATGGCCCTTGCACAAGGGTGACATGCAAATTCATGAAGCATTCCATATTTTTGAACTGACATGGTGGATGGGAAGAAATTAAGAAAAAAAAAGGGGGATTAATAATGTACACAGCATTGAAACAGATGAGAGAGGGAGAACTGTAAAAAAAAAAAAAGGAATATAGGATTAGGTATTATTGGCATGACATAAATCCAGAATAACAGCTGCATAGTAAAGTGGACTGTGGGTTTATAAATGTATAACAATGAAATAATTTTTTTTCCAAAGAGAAAAACAAACTGGGGGTGGGGAGTAAGACAGGGAGGAAAATGTGCAATAATAAATGAATGAATGGAAATCCAAGTTCTCTATACACTTTCATTAAAATCTCAATTAAAAAAAAATGAACGGAGGGGGTAAAACAAACAAACACACAAACCCAAACAAAACAACCCCAAAACCCCCCAAGCTAAAAATTTCTATGATAATTTTTGGTTTTGGTAAACGTCTCCAAGTCTAGATGGAGGATGAAGAAGGAAGAGAAAAGACTCAACAAAACAAATTTATCACTAGACTGTCTTATCACCCAATTTAATACAATATTATCAGCCAAACATATGGACAAATATCTACAGACTTATTGGATGGAATCAAGAATACTTTAGATTCATGTTTACCTCTGTTTCTCGTTATTCCAATTATTGCCTATTCTGATTCTTGTTGTTCTGAGTGCTTATGTGAGCCAGACACTAAGAGAGTTGTTTAATTTGTAGGATAAATAAATGAATGAGTGAATCCATGGCCTAGATTTTGTAGTGCCTGTGTATGAGCTAGTCATCTTTGTTGTGCGTACCATAGAGTTGGAACTGACCGATAGCTGACCCCCTTCCCCTGGGTGGGTTTTCAGAATCATGGGAGGAGCATTTATCTGCCTGCCTTTGGGACTGCAGTGCAGCTTTTTGCCACTAGGCCACCAGAGCGCTCATAAAGAGTCATTAGCTTACTTTAATGAAAACAAAAAATCCAAAACTCACAGCTGTCATGTCAATTCTGACTCATAGTAACCCTGAAAGACAGCGTGGAATTCGCCCTTAGGGTTTCCAAGGGGAAAGTTTTTTATAGGGTCGAGTGAGTGCCTCCTCTTTCTCCCCTGGAGCAGCTGGTATATTTGAACTGCTGATCTTCTGGTTGACAACCCAATGCTTAACCCACTGTGCTACCAAATTTCCATTTACACTTTAATGAGGTGCTAGAAAATCATAGTTAGTTTAATTTATGCTGATATTTGAAGATATTTGGAGGGATACATTTTTAAGATAAACTTACTATCCTTGTAGGAAATGTAATAAAGCAGAATAATCTATGTTTATGAATGAATGATATTTTATTATAAGACAATATGCAGATTTTCGTAATGTCATGCCACTACATTTTTAGAAGCCAGTGAATCAAGTGGAAAAAAATAAGTTGGCACTTGTTGAAGGGGAAGGGTTTTTCTATTTTTAGTGAAAAGTAAATTGAGATTGTCTCATGAGAGAGCTCATTTTGGCACTTGGAGGTAGAATTCTTATGGTAGAATTTCTACTGATTGTATCTGTTTGATTTCACAGATGTTTGGTGGTGATTTCCAGGATTTCACAGGTGTTCGGTGGTAGTTTTCGGCCTAAATCCTTTATTAGGGTCAAGGAGGGGGATAAAAAAAAAAAATTTTTAAAAAAAAAAAAAAAAGGAGGGGGATAAAGAATTATTAACGTCTATCTGAACATTGTGTTACTGTTGAGGGGGTGGCTGAGAATGGAAGACATCTGGGGAGTGTTGAGATGTATGAAGCTCTGTCTCCTGGTATAACGAGATTGATTCATTGCTTTGTGTCGCTCACTCCCCGTGGTGATAGTGGTTCTTTTCTCTGAGGATGACCCTGCTTGTCTTCCAGGGCCTGGGGAGCTGATGTCTGCTCTGGATTGGTGGGAGCTTCATCAGATGGAAGGTCCCTAGTGTACTGCTGTAATTCTTGGCTGTGGTCAGGAGAATCGGGGATCTCACCAGTGAGGGATACCCTTGACTGACTTGTGCTGTGCTCCGGGCCTGATTGCTGCTCTGGCTCAGCTTCGTTTTGATATTCTTCTTGGGTTATGTCTGTTTGTTGTGTAATCTTCTCCTGCAGGTAATTGTATAGCGGGCTCGGCTGGACTGAATCCCTCTCGGTAGAACAAGGCAGTTGGCTCCTCTGCATGCTCTCTTTAAGGCCTGGCTGGGAGACTGGTGAATAATATCCGATTTTGCCTGGATATTGTTGGTCATCATTTTCTGTGAGCTCCTGGGGACTTTTGTCTTCCTCCTGTAATGATGCAGTTTCCTCTGTCTCAGGGAAGCCTGAATTGTCCTCGTGAAGATTTTCAAGTGGAGTTTCCTGGATCTCTGGTGCTCCACCTTCTTCTTTGGTATCTGAGCTCTGGCCTTTCAGTTTACTCTTGCTGTTTCCTTTTGCAGGTTGTTGTACTACAGGAAGCTGATCACTGCAGTCTGCATCCAGGACACCTGGGGTCTCAATCTCTGCAGGGTTTCTGTTTTCACTTTCTGCTTTGGGCTGCTGTGCCTCTGGGTGTCCGTCTGTGGATTGTCCTTTGGCCTCTGAGTCTTGGCTCCCAACTTCCTGTTCCTCTGTGAGTTGCTCAGCCTCTCCTTTGCCTGCCAGCTCAACTGCCTCCTCATCTCTGCACTGCTCACCTTGCACTGTTTGTTTCTGGAAATCTGTGTCATTATTGCAGTCTTCTTGCATAGATTCTCTCTGTGAGTCTTTCTGACTCTGGAAATACTCTTGTGCAGGCAAGTCACTTGTTTCTGAGCTGCCATCACCTTCCTCTGGAGCCAGGATTTCAGAAGATCCTTCATCATTCTGTGTGACTGATGGCGCTAGATCTTCTCCCTGGTGGCTGTCATCTTCCTTGATTGGCCTGTCATGAGTCTTGATGATATTCCTATTTTTTTCTCCAGACTGGCTCTCAAGTAGTGCTGACTGTTGTGTTCCTTCTCTTGCCCCTAGTGTCTCTTCTACTATAGGGTCACTTCTGCTGTCCACAAGTGCTTCTTCTGTGCCTTTCTCAGTAGATCTTACATCTTTTTCTGGGACCGTTTCTCCTTCCATTTCAGAATGACTTTGATCTGTTGTTCCTGTGCTGCTTGGCTCTCGGGTCTCAGACTCTTTTGCAGCATCCATTTCTTCTGATGGTCCCTGCGTTTCCTGATACTTCTCCTCCTGTGTTTGGATTTCCAGATCTGGCATCTGAGTTTCCCTCTCCCTTTCTTTCTGACCTTTTCTTCCATGAGTCTCACAATTTTTCTCCAGATTCCTTTCAATTTTAACATCTTTTGTTTCTGAAATATTTCTGCTATCACTTTGGGCTGGCAAGTCTTTTGTTTCTTGTTCTTGGGTCTCACATATTGTATCACCATCATTAGACTTAGGGGAATACTTTGTCTCCAATGATGTCCTATCAGCATCACCTTTTCCTAGTTCCTCGACCTCAGCTACTTTACCATCGATCACAGATTCAGTTGATTTATCTGACTCATGTGATTTCCTGTCAGTGTCTTTTTCTGGTTCTTGAGTCTCCGATAATCTACCATTGTCCATATAATCATTTGATCTCTTTGTCTGAGATGGTTTACCATCAACTTGCTCTGGCAGGTCAGCATGCTCTGAATTACACTCACTTTTTGCTTGCAGGGATGATTCTTGTGTTTTAGAATGTTCCTTAATTCTGCTTTCTGTTGCAATTTTATGATCTTCAGATGATCCCTGTTCTATTTCTTCTGCTAGTGAACCCTGGATTCCGAAGTTTCCTTCCTGCTCTTCCAACTGACCTCTTGGTTTAGAACCACTTTGCTCCCATGCTTGATGCTCTTCTTCTCTGAGAATCTCCTTGTCCCATCCTTCCCCCTTTGTAGGACTGCTGCTTTGTTCTTCTTCCGGCACACTATGAACCTTGGATTCGTCCTGTGGGTCCACCCTACGGGGTTCAACTAGTCCCCCTTCTTTAGGGTTGAGTTGAGATGAAGGAAGCACTATTTTATCTTGAGTAGAGGGAGTTTCCTCTCTTTGTTGGCCATTTCTGCTGGTTGCATCGAGATCCACATTATCTGGCTTTTTCTTCTCTGATTTAGTTTCTTGCTCACGTTCCAAATTTAATGACTGTATTTCAATGTAGCAGTAGTTCAGCAGGTTACACATTGCAAGGATAAATTCTTCAAAACTGATGCCTTCACTGGCAATCCCCAGCAGGTCCACACTTTTCTCCACTGCATGGATGACGCGTGGCTGCATGAAACACAGTAAGAAATGATTATTCATTTGTAACGAAATTTTCTAAGTCTCTCTATGTCTCTCAAGAATCCTTTCCTTCTCCTCCTTCCTCAGCATCTGTTGACATTTCCACAATTATAAGAATGACATTGATTCTGAATGCTATTTTTCATCAAATAGTGTATTGGGTTCAATATTCTCCCCACCCCCCACAGTTTCATATTTACTTGATTTCCCAGAATATAAATGTATTTAGAAATGGATTGTAAAAATATTTTAAAAAGGGATGTTGGAGATATAATTATTTAAATTGAAGTCAAAGAAGAATTGGATAGATAAAAAAATCTAGTGGCAAATGCTATGATAGACATAGACACATACAGGTAGAATATGATCACATGAAGACGGAAACAGAAATTGGATTGGCACAGCTTTAAGTCAAGGAATGCCAAAGATTGCCCTCAACCAGAAGCAAGGAAAAGGCAGGAAGGATACTTCCTGAGGACCTTCCGAAGGAGCATGTCCCTGCAGACACCTCAATTTCAGGCCTCTGGCCTTCAGAACTGTGAGAGAATATTTCTGCTGTTCTAAGTAGCCTAGTTTGTGATAATTAGTTATGACCCTTCTAAGAAACTAATACGGAGAGCTTTGACTCTGTAGGAGCATTTATACCACATGTGAGTTGCATTTCGGTGCACAATGGCTCATGATTCCTCTAAGAAGTCTATTTTGCTAGAGTCCCAGTGAGGAAAACCTCATATTCTCTATAAGATCAACTGAGCAATTGTGCAGAATAGGAAACAGACTAAAAAGATATTGTTCAAAAGTCAGTGAGTTCTTAACCTGTCCCACTGACCTGTTATCAATGACTCTACAGGACATAGTAGAAGTGCCCTAATCATGTTTCTGAGGCTATAAATCTTTATCGAAACAAACTTCCTTCCTTTCTCCTCTGAAAAGGCTGTTGAGTTCAAACCATTGACCTTTCATTTAGCAGCCTGATGCTTGACTTGGTATGTCATCAGCAAATAATGGTAAAATTATTATTTTTACTACACTAGGATCTGTTGTTGGGAGCTCTTATGGCCTAGTGGCAAGAAGCTGCTCTGCAATCCCTAACAGACACAGTTCGAGGGCATGAGAAGGATGGACAATCTCCTCTCATGTGATTAACTGCCCCTGAAAATCTTCCAGAGAGTCAGCTATGGGTCAGTTCTGACTCTACAGTACACAACAACAACAACAACAACAGGGTCTGTTATTATTTAACTAACATGTAACTTGCTGATATTATGCAACATTTTAAATTCTTTAAAAAAGTAAAGGAGCCCTGATGGTTCAGTGATTAAGTGTTCAGCCACCATTCAAACTGTCTGGGGGTTGAACTCATTAGCTGCTCTGGGGGAGAAAGATATGACAGTTGTCCTGATAACCAAGCATAAAATGGACAGAGCTCACTTGTGCCCATCTTACTTGAATTAAAGGAAGGGGCAAGCAGGGAAGGGTCACTATAGCCCCTCGAACACCTCACCTGAACGATGTCCCCGAACTCGCTCTGAAGGAGCTGCTTCAGCTCCCTGCAGGTCAGCATCATCCCCTCGCAGTCCTCCTGGGCATACGTGTGGAAGATCTCAATAACACTGAGGACGCTTCTCAGGAGCCCAGGCATCTTTAGACACTCGGGAGAGACTGTGAGGAAGAACAAACAAAACCCATTTACCAGCAAATGTCTTTCTGGAAAGGAATACAAAGACTCTGCTTTCTGTTCCTTCTTGAACTGCATACCCATCACCTGCTCTCTTTAGGGTCTAAATATTGTTTCAGAACTCCAGATACAATCTTAAACCAGCATTGCAGAGATCAGATCTAGCCCAAGTGGGTATTAGAAGAGACTTCTACCTGAAAAACAGTGAAATTCATGTGTTGAGAGAAAGTTTTATTGCCTGGGAAGCTGGGGAAATAACTCAAGAATATGTACTGAAAAGCACACATGAAGCCTACAGATAGGGTCAAGCCTTCCTGCTTATGGAAGAGTCTCCTGCTTTCCTCCCACTTAGCTCAGTCCATCTTCTTATGTTTAGCATAGTCTAACTTCTCAAGTTAGTAAAAGAAAGAAATCACATAAAACCATCCCTACACACACAGGCTTAAGCAACATGTTTTACCAAGACGTTATGGCTCATTCACCTCCCTGATAAAGCCAATAAAGGACTGACTCCTCAGTCTGACCTATTTTCAATAAATTTGAGTCCCATGTCTCAATTGTCCCATGTAGTGTTGATGTCGATGTAGATGTCAACCAAATGATTGAGATATAGATATATAGATATATTAAATAAGATACCTTTTTGTTTCATAAGCAAAAAGAATGCATTTGGATGGCTGAAGTTCCTAGAATGGAGATATATATATATATATAAAATACATTCTTTCCTTAAGCATATGTATCAGTAATAAGAGTAGACCCAGATTATAGGCGATTTCCCCCAGAATCCTTTTCCAGCAGCAGCTGAGACCTAAATGTGCTCAGAGTCTGTGCGACTTACCTTGTCCAGGAGAGAGTGGGTGAGGTGCTAGGTGTAGGCTGAGTGCTCTCTGCAGCCTCTGGAACCTTTTATTGGGCCTCTAATTGCATATGTTAGGACGGAGACACCCCCTCAGGGCTAATGACCTGATTCATCACCACCAGGCTTGGTCACCCCTCCTTCTCTGCCGTCTGGCCTTCTGGTGTTCATTTCCTTCTTCCAGCACCTTCAGTTAAATCTTGGATTGAGATTCACCCAGAGGAAATACAAGAGGGGATGTTGTCGCACATGTACTGAATTTGCAGGTTATAGTTTCGAGGGATTTTCAGGGCGGTGCTGACTTTTTTCTTTTTTAAAACCTAAGGACAGAATTACATTTTTGTTTGCCAGATCATAGTCACCTGATTCTTCTCTCTGCCCATAGGATGGACTCTACTTGACCCACTCCTGATATACGGGTGTCAATCATGTGTTTAAAATACAGGGCCCATTTAGCCATGTGACAAAAGTACAAAAGTAGAGATACCAGGTGACTCAGTGTTCCCAATGCTCTGTTCTCCTGGTTCACAGGCAGAATTGGGGGGGAGGGGCGGCACGGATCTCTTACAAGGTATGCAGAACCTTAATTTCCCCAAGATATGCTATTTTTAAAATGTTATATAATATAAACTACATTGAAACATGAGAGAGAGAGAGAGCTGTTTAAAAGGGATATATGATTAGATATTATTGTCATGACAGGAGTCCAGAACAAAGGTGGCATAGTAGAGTGGACTTGAGAGGAAGGACTGAATAACAATGAAAGATTTTTTTCTTTTACTTTTCAAAAAGAAAAGTTAATTTGAGAGAGGGATGGGTAGAGAGAAAAGTGCAACAATGAATGAATGGAAATCCTAAGTCTCTGTAAACTTCCATTAAAAATCAATTTAAAAGATAATAAAAAATACTATTTCAGTCTGCTTCTAAAAGGCACTTTCATGGTTTGAGGATCTTAGGAATAAGCATGCATATTACTGTACTCTCTCTTTGAAGAGAAAAAGGAGAAATGGGAACAATCAGGCTGAGGAGAGGTAGTAGTGAGCCTGAGATACTAAACAAATGGAAACTCCATTTTAAAAATCTTTTACTGTTGGTGATAGTATACACAGCCAAAGATACACCATTACAAGAATTTCTACATGTGTAATTTGTTGACGTTGGTCAAGTTGAGCTACCATTCTCACTATTCTTTCTCACATTATCCTACCACTAGTATCTTAAGATTTCAAAATGAGAAGATTTAAAAAAGTATTTCGAGCAGACAAAGCAAACTACTATAATGGAATGTTCAGAGACCTAGAATTGGAGAATTAAGAGGAAAGAAATCTCTCAGCATTTCTGAAGCTGAAAGAACTGAAGAACAAGCCCAAACCTTGAGTTATAATATTTAGGGGAAAAATCTTGAATGATCTATGAAACATCAAAAGAAGATGGAGGAAATATACAAAATCATTGTACCACAAAAGAATTAGCTGACTGAAATATTTTGGAAAGCAGTATATGATCAAGAGCCAATGGTAATGAAGGAAGGAGTTCAAACAGCATTGAATGCATTAGCAAAAAATATTGCCCCAGGAATTTATGGGATACCAGTTGACATGTTACAAATGACAGATGCAGCCCTGGACATGCTCATCAGATTATGCCAGGAAATTTGGAGAACAACTTCCTGGCTGACTGACTGGAAGAGATTCATATTTCTTTTCATTCCCAAGAAAGATGATATAACAGCATGCGGAAATTATTGAGCAACATCATATGCAAGTAAAAACTGCTAAAGATAATTTAAAAAATAGCTAGAACAGTACATAATCAGAGAACTTCCAGATGTTCAAGCAGGATTTAGAGGAGGCCGGAGCATCAGGGATGTCATTGCTGATGTCAGATGCATCCTGGTTGAAAGCAAAGAATAACAGAAGAATGTCTATTTGTGTTTTATTGACTACACAAAGGCATTTGACTCTGTGGATCATAACAGTTATGGGTAACATTGAGAAGAAAGAGAATTTCAGGATACTTGATTGTGCTCATGCAAAGCCTGTATCTAGACCAATAGATCTGTATCTAGATCTATTATGGAAACCAAGAAAGAGAACACTGTTTAAAATTAGAAACAGTGTGTATCATGGTTGTATCCTTTCTCCATATATAATTAATGTGTATGCTGAGCAAACTATTAGAGAATCTGGACTCTATGAAGAAGAATGTGGCATCAGGATTGGAGGAAGACTCATCAATAACTTATGTTATGCAGATGACACAACATTGCTTGCTGAAAGTGAGGAGAACTTGAAGTGTATGTTTCAGAAGGTTTAATACTCAGCCTTCAATATAGATTGCATCTCAACATCAAGAGAACAAAGATCCTTGCCACTGGACTGATAGGCAACTTCATGATACATGGAGAAAAGATTGAAACTGTCAATGATTTCATTTTGCTTGGACCCACAATAATACACAGTCAGTCAGGAAGGTGATTGGGAGAAATGTTGCAATAGGCAAATATGTAGTCAGGGACCCCTCTCTATTATTGAGGAGCAATGATGTCAGATTGAGAACTTAAGTGTACCTGATTTAGGCCATGGTCTTTTCAATCACTATGTATTTGAGAGCTAAACAATAAGACTGACAGAAGAATTGATGCCTTTGAACAATGGTGATGGAGAAAAGAAATTACTATCCCATAGACTGCCAAAAGAACAAACAAATATATCTTGGAGAAGGTGCACCCAGAGTGCTCAAGACAAAGATGATAAAGGTTTGTCTCACATACTTCTGGTATGTTGCTAGGAGAGATTATTCCTTGGGGAGATACATCATGCTTGGAAAGGTGGAGATATTGGAGGAGAAGAAGACCCTCAACCAGGTAGACTGATACAGTGGGTGCAACAAGTAAGCTTGAGTATGTCAGAGATTGTGAGGATAGCACAGATTAGGGCAGGGTTCGGATCTGTTGTTCAGGGGATTGCTATGAATTGCACTTGACTGAACAATACCTGACAACAACAGTATCTTAAAGTCACTGTCCTCTATATTTCCCATTGAAACATTTGAATTCACGTTGTCAATTTTATCTCATATAGATAATTCTTTGAAAGATTATAATACTTGAGCCTGACATTCTTTATTAAGCTAAATTATGGTTTAATTTTATAAAGAAGTCAGGGAGTATTTTAAGTTTTAACATTTAAAATTAATTTCAGGGCAGTAGTTTTAGAGAGTCATTCAACCTCTATGACTCCAGAAAATCTAAATCCCATGAGAATTTGAAATTCTGTTCTACATTCTCACCCTTTTCATGAAGATTTTTTCTATAGACTTTTATGATTTTTTATTAATTTATTTATTGTGTGTGTGTGTGTGTGTGTGTGTGTGTGTGTACTGTCGGATTGGATCCGACTTGAACAGGAGGAGATTGTCCTTCCTTCTCCAGCAGAGTATCTGGAATCTTAAAACCTAGTACCTGCTCTTGAGTCACCCCCGCGCAGCTGGCGGCTCTTGTGCGGCCTGCTATTAGACCCTGCCCTCGCCTCTTTGGTACTTGGAACCCTTTTCATCAAGATGCCTGAGGAAGTGCACCATGGCGAGGAGGAGGTGGAGACCTTTGCCTTTCAGGCAGAGATTGCCCAACTTATGTCTCTTATCATCAATACCTTCTATTCCAACAAGGAAATTTTCCTTAGAGAGTTGATCTCTAATGCTTCTGATGCATTGGACAAGATTCGCTATGAGAGCCTGACAGACCCTTCCAAGCTGAACAGTGGGAAAGAGCTGAAAATTGACATAATCCCTAACCCCCAGGAACGTACTTTGACTCTTGTGGACACAGGCATTGTCATGACCAAGGCTGATCTCATAAATAACTTGAGAACAATTGCCAAGTCTGGTACCAAAGCCTTTACGGAGGCTCTGCAGGCTGGTGCAGACATCTCCATGATTGGTCAGTTTGGTGTTGGCTTTTATTCTGCCTATCTGGTGGCAGAGAAAGTGGTAGTGATCACAAAACACAATGATGGTGAGCAGTAGGCCTGGGAGTCGTCAGCTGGGGGCTCCTTCACAGTTCGTGCTGACCATGGTGAGCCCATTGGTCGGGGTACTAAAGT